GGAATCACAGAGGGACGTATCAGATACTTGTTAAAGCAAAAGAATGAACCAGATGTCACAGCAATGCATCTTATTAATATTTATTAAGATATTCAGAATCACCCAAACTTCAACAAACGACTTGTGCTTCTGTTTCTCCATCTTCAGTTCCTTTCCTTGCATCCTGAATGTGACTGATAAGAACTAGTTTGACCATCTAGCAGTTAAACAAGTTGTAGTCTTACTTTTTACATTCAAATCCATTCTATGTGACTAACTTAAAGAGTTACGACCAGTCTTTAAGAAAGAAAATTAGATGACTAACTCTGAAGACTAGTTTACGCAACGGGCCACAGTTGCCTACACAAACCTCTATATTAATTTACATGAGTGATGTAATAATTTACATGAAGATATTTCAAGATGTGCTCATGAAATGGAAATCAGTGGTGTTCATTGATGTTTGATTCCCAAAAATCTTCAAAATATCTTCTTTTGTGCTCCCAGAAGAAAGAAACTCGTACAGTTTTGGAACCACTTGAGAATGTATTTATTTATTTGTTTGTTTGTATGGTGGAATATTCCTTTAATGAATATTACTATTGTATTTATTACCAGTACTATATAATATTATACACACTGAAATCTAATTATAAGCAAAATAATAACTTATAAGGCTTACAATCTTAATGTTAACTTAATGTCATGATTTCAAATTTGAGATCAACTCAAATGTCATTGTTAGAACAATTTATGTTTGTCCAAAACATCCCAATCAGGCTATTCAAAATTAATAAATCAAAAACTAAAATAAATCCAAAAACACATCAATTAAATTCAATGAAACAAGGTGTTTCGAGTTCTTGCGCCACAAAAGAAATAACTCAAATCTACATCAGCAAAGGTGAAAGACAAATAGGCACCACTTTCAGGTCGGTAATTCCCATGACTTTGCCTTTTGTTCTGTCACATGTCTATATTAATATAATTGTCAATATGATTACGACAGCAGCAGCAGATGAAGGCCGCAGTGCTCAGTGTTATGAAATATGACGGGGTTCCTCTGGGTTCGGCCCTGAACCGTCAGTCATGCCGTTCGACCGGTTTGTCAAGTTCAAGCCAACAAAAAAATGGAACCGCCAACTATTTTGAGAACTGGAGCGACGGAGAGAGCGAGCGGAGGAGAGCTGACAGCATGGAGGTACGTTGACTCTCATCTGATTCTACAGGCAGAAAAGAGCGGGTTCATAAGAAACAGACACTTTGTTTAATGCGTCTTGTTTTCATCACGTGTAGTTTATTTGATTCAAACTGTGAAGACATTGTAATGTAACCCAGTTACAATGAGAATGAACAAGTGAGTAATGTGTCAGACTCGGTAGCTATATATATCTTCAGCTCTGTCACATGAAAACAGTGTGTTTTGCTCTGTTAAGCATCTGTAATCAAACCAGCATCTGTAATGGCACCTCTAGAGATTTTTCTTTCTAGAAAGACTGCCAATGGTAAGTTGACATGTTTAATCAAACATTTGGAGGATTAAACTTATGTTGCACTTCATCGCTCTTCTTTATTACACAAACTGGACCGAGTCGAGCTACAGTGATCCAGATCTGTTCGTTTGGAACACATCCACAACACAAACAGAGCAGGACTTCACTCTAATGATCTTCACTCTATGAGGTTTAATAATTATACGTTCCTGGGTCAGTCTGAAATACTGGTTAACCCAGGATCATTTAGGATTACGATTGTGACGTTAGCAGGCCAATTTGACCTGCAAATATCATGTTGTTGTTTTTAATATGTTTTTATTATGTCGGTTTCTCAGCTTCCCTCAGAGGGTATTACACGTATGCTATTTGCAGACGCTTTTATTCAAAGAAATGTGTTGCGTTGTAAGCGTACTTTTTTTAGCAGTACCAATCTTGCTGGGTATCGAGCGCCATACTCTACTCTACTGTGTACAGAAGAACTAACAATGATTATTTTTACATTTAAAATTAAATATTTAAAATTCTGTTTATAATGTTTAATGAAAAACAAATGTTATAAATTTTTTTTTTTTGCATTGAATGTTTTTTCTCAGTTTTACAGTTTTATGTTCTCATGAGTATTAATGTTGAAGGTTTACTGTTTTAACCTGATTTTATTTTGATTCATTTTTTTTATATATATATATATATATATATATACAGTATAGTGTATTTTTTTTTTATCCAATTAGGTTCAATTTAAACTGGACCATTGTATTTCAACAGGGAATCAAACCCATGATCTTGGTGTTGCGAGCGCCATGCTGAAGTGTTTGAGTTTCAGGAAAGCAAAATCCTTAAAAGCGAAATAATAATAATAATAAATAAAAATAAGAGTAATAATAACTGTAAAATTAAGATTAAATGTTTTTTTCTTTTTCCAGTTTAAAAAAACTCATATTTTCTTGGCTTTTTTTGGTAATGTCTGAGAAGTGTTAATGTTGATGTTTACCTGTTTACTGTACCAACAAAGCACATACTGGTAAAATGCATTGTAAATTGTTTATGGCAAATAAATAAATCCAAATCAGTAGTGGGATAAAGCAACTATTTTTGTATTTATATAGGGGGAAAAAATCCCTGTTGCACATTTGAAAGTCTATAAAATACACTAGTCAACATTTGAAGATCAAAACCTTTCATCAAAGTTGTCCTGAAACCTAAAACCAAAATGTGTTCTTGTCTCAAGACAACTTTGATTAACTTTTTTGATCCACTTCTAATGTTGACTGTTATATTTGTTGCTCAACTCAGTGATGCACCACCAAATTTTCCAAGTTTGGCTGCGTTGATTAATATTTTATTCCTTCTCTGACGTTTGTCATTGTAATGACCTTTGGTGTGAGTTACAGGGATGAGTTCATGGAAAACAGTGTCATATGAAAAGGCCAGATATGCAAATAAATGCAACTAGACAAAGTCTTTATGACAGCGATCCAGAAACACACAGACAGAGACGACACCAGTGAAGTTTTCCTCAAAGAAACGTTCGTAGGGGATGCGTTTTCGGACATATTTCCTCTTTTCTCGCTCGTGTCCAGGCGTCGTGAATGTCGTAGTGTGAGTGTGTCTGTGAGTGTGTCTGTGTGTGTGTCTGTGTCTGTGTGTGTGTGTGTGTGTGTGAGTGTGAGTGTGTGAGTGTGTGTGTGTGTCTGTGAGTGTGTCTGTGTGTGTGTCTGTGTCTGTGTCTGTGTGTGTGTGTGTGTGTGTGAGTGTGAGTGTGTGAGTGTGTGTGTGTGTCTGTGAGTGTGTCTGTGTGTGTGTCTGTGTCTGTGTCTGTGTGTGTGTGTGTGTGTGTGAGTGTGAGTGTGTGAGTGTGTGTGTGTGTCTGTGAGTGTGTCTGTGTGTGTGTCTGTGTCTGTGTCTGTGTGTGTGTGTGTGTGTGTGAGTGTGAGTGTGTGAGTGTGAGTGTGTGTGTGTGTGTGTGAGTGTGTGTGTGTGTGTGTGTAAGAAGTATTCGCTGTATGCAGTTAATCCTGTTCACCTAAATTTACTTTGAACGTGACATAAGTAGGTTTGTGTTAGTTTGTTTTGTAGGTAGACTCTCTATACATATCCCTGCTGTCTCAGTTGTTCTTCTTCTGTTCTTATTTGAACGTTTTTGTTTTGTTTTGTTTTTTTAAATCTCAAAATGTTTTAAATCTCAAAAACATTTGTAAGCGGTTGAATATTGAACTTTGCCTCTCTGTACTTTAGGGAAATGAGTGTATTTGCATGTTTTGTCTGTGTGTGTTTGACCGTTTGGAGTTCACGTTCCTGTTGCCATATTGTTAATGTTTTTACAATATCGTAATCTAAGGTTTATATTTGTTCATTTACCAGACGCATTTTTATACACACTCTTAAAAATAAAGGTTCTATAGGGCTTTTTCCAGGTGATGCAGTAAACAAACCTTTTTTTTCTAAGTGAAGAACATTTTAGAACTCTAAAGAAACTTTTGTGGAATGGAAAGATTCCATGGAAGCTAAATGTTCTTCACAGAATCATCAATGCAAACTAAATCCTTTATTTTCAAGAGTGTAAAATAACATACAGTGCAGACTCTTGTCTTGCAGCTTTTCATTTGGCTGTGAAGTGACATGTTTCTCATTGCATTTCTTGTGCGCAAGGCATCCAACCCTGTCCAGGCGTCACTTCGAGCTATTATTTTAAGTGACATATAAAACTAGATGTTTCACAGTATTAAAAATAAAGGTTCCAAAAGGGGGTTTTCATAGTGACGCCATAGAAGAACCATTTTTGGTTCCCCCCCCAAAAAAACTTTCATTGAACAGTTAAAGCAGTAGTTCACCCAATAATGAAAATTAGCTGAACAACCCAAGATCAGGATGAGTTTGTTTCTTCATCAGGTTTGTAGAAATGCAGCATTGCATCAGTGTCTCAGCAATGGATGCTCTGCAGTGAATGGGTGCCGTCAGAATGAGAGTCCAAACAGCTGATAAAAACATCACAATAATCCACAAGTAATCCACAGCACTCCAGTCCATCAGTTAACATCTGGAGAAGACAAAAGCTGCATGTTTGGAACAAACAAATAGATAGAGGACGTATATTTTAACTGAAAGCAATGGTTTAACAATCTTTATTCTTAAAAGTGTTGCACAAAAGGTTCTTTGTGGAACGAAAAATGGTTCTTCAATTGTGGTTGACATACGGAAACCCATAATACTGTTTATTGATTTGATGTTTCAGGTGTTTCTTTTGACTTAATGATCTTCTTTACCATAGTGTCCTTCAAGTAACGGCTAACACATCTGACACGCTTCGAGAGGAACGGAGCTTCCCTACATGGATTTACTTCAAGAGATTGAGGAGCTCTGGAAACATTCGTCTTGATTGGTCTCGAACCCTCAGAATTTGTCTGATCTGATCTGATTCGGACAATGGATGATTTAACCCCTCCTTAGCAGACATTATTGATCTTGCTGAAACTGTGCTGGACAGAAAACGTTAAAAGAAGCACAAACAAAAACCCAAAGACGGGCATGTTGGACAACTCAAAGGTCTCCATCGAGCTGGGTGTCGTCAGGCTCGGGACCGTCGCCGAACCCCAGAAACCACGTACGTCATCGAGGGATGAGAACCGTCTTAGCTCTCCCAATCCTGACGAGGAACGCAACAATCGCACCAGAAATGCACTTAGCAATACTTCTTCTCAGAACGTCCCAGGCACGTCCACAGACTGGGCTGAACCTGATGGTGTTGACAGGAGACGCAGTTTGGCGACGTTATCTGAGACCTCGAGGACTTCCAATGCCAACACTGAGGTTTCTCAGAGCTCTCGCAGCAGGTTTATAGTGGATGATGAACCGAGCGAATCCCGTCGGACGTCCGGCCGCGGCGCGTGCTCCTGTTTCCGTGCGGTGAACATGGCGTTTCTGCGCTGTCTGGAGGAGACGCCGCTGCTGGTGTCTGGAGTAGTGCTGGCCATCCTCTTCTGCGTGACCATCATCATCATCATCCCCTCCACCGGCCGGGTAAGAGCCGACTGACACGCTTATCAGTTACTCACTTTGTGTTGTTTGCAAAAAATGCATAATTTTGTGTGCATCCCTGCTGGATAAACCTGATCCTACCTGATTAAGGTGATCACTATAGGGAACAATTCACCTAGAAATGAAAGTGTGCTCACCTGCAGGCCATCCGAGATCAGGATGCGTTTGTTTCTTCATCAGGTTTGTAGAAATGTAGCACTGCATCAGTGTCTCAGCAATGGATGCTCTGCAGTGAATGGGTGCCGTCAGAATGAGAGTCCAAACAGCTGATAAAAACATCACAATAATCCACAAGTAATGCGCCCCATTCCGCCCCCTTTCCAGCAGTGCGCTTTCGCTCCTGCATAAAAGGTCAATTTTAATGCAAATCAGTAAAATCATGTAACGTGACTTTTGCGAAATGGGACGTGCTTGGTTTATTAAAGTTGATTAGATTTATTCATGTTTTTAAAAGCACGAAAGAAAACTTCCTCAGGAGGATTTCTGTGCATGACCTCAGAGACGGAGCAGAACACACATGTACATGTAAAGTCATCTTTTAGCATCTTTTTGTCAGCGGCACTTAGTAATTATTCACATAAACCCTCGTCGGTTATGTAATAAATAAACATAAACAGCTGAGAATGAAAACAGGTGTGTAACAATCAAACAACACAAGACAAAGACAAAATCACTCACGGCTCTTGACTGAAAAGCTTTTGTAGCTTTAATAAGAAACAAAGGAAGTTTAATTCTTACAGTGAAGACTATGTTGTTTTATTTTACATTAGATTATTCAATTTCTGTAGTAGGCTGTTAACTAAATACTTTAGACTTGCATAAAAAACATAAAGCACAGTTTGTTTCATTTGTATCTTTTTTATTCTGTAAATGTCACAGCAACCTTATATACAGAAAATATATATTTGATATACATCGCTATCTTTAAATAAATCATTCATATAAAGTTTTGGTCATATGGCCACTCATAATTGTGTTAAATAATCGTGATTACAATATTGACCAAAATAATCATGATTATGGTTTTTGTTATAATCGAGCAGCCCTAATTCAGACCAGACGTCTTGGCAGAAGTGTTATTATGGATTATGGACTCATATTTTAGCCTAAAGCAATGGGTTGAAGTTAAAAAACGTCTTAATGCTGGATTAGTTTCAGCTTTTGTCTTCTCCAGATGTTAACTGATGGACTGGAGTGCTGTGGATTACTTGTGGATTATTGTGATGTTTTTATCAGCTGTTTGGACTCTCATTCTGACGGCACCCATTCACTGCAGAGCATCCATTGCTGAGACACTGATGCAATGCTGCATTTCTCCAAACCTGATGAAGAAACAAACTCCTGGCCTGAGGATGAGCACATTCTGATGAACTCTTCCTTTAATCTAGCTTCAGCTGTGTTTTCCAGCAGGTGTGTGTAACGCTTGAGTGTCTAAATTAAGTGTTTGTTTCTCTCACGCATCCAGAGCCTCAGCGTTCACGTGGCGGCGTTTGCAGTGGTGTGTGTGGTGGTGTGTGTTTGCGTGTCGCTGTTGCTGTGTTTGCCGTGTTTGCCGGTGGTTCGGCGGGGAGAAACGCCTCTGGCGCTCTTCATCTGGTCCATGCTCTTCATCATCGCCTTCGTCTTCATCTTCACCGTAGGCGTCGTCACGGCCTGGGAGCAGGTCAGCTGAGGACGCTCGTTTAGATTCATTTACACTTTCATTTAGTCCTAGTCCTTATGACAAGGATCCTATTTTTTTTGTTTTTTTTGTTTTTAAAGCCAGAAACATGCTTTCTGCCATTACACAGATCTTGAAGATAAATGTAATTACCTCATTTTAAGTATTTTTAGGTGTGGTTTCTAGACAAGGAAAAGTCATGTAAATTATTTAAATGTAATCTAATATCTGAAGATATACAAACTCTAGATGGCGCAGTCCGATAGGTCTAACTTAATCTGACCTAATGACATCATTATCACATGGCTCAGCTGATTGGTTCTCTCCTGTATCGGTAGCCAATGAGCTCGCTGCTCAACATTCAAATATATGACTAGTGCTTGCCGTAGCAGTGCAGCTTGCTTCAGAAACCCTTCACCTTCCCCAGCTCCACCTGTATAGATCTGCTACGAGGTGATTCATGTACGCTATATGGGGGTTATTTCATGTACTGTATGTTATATTTGCAGCAGCTGTATTTCTTACATGCTCACAGCAGCATGTTGTGTATGTATTGGCAGCAGCAGCAGCAGTGTAGCAGATCTATTCCGCCCCAAATACATTAACATTGTCATGTACATTACCATGCCAATCCCTCCGAGAGTTGTCATGACAGAAATACAGAGTTCTGTTTATGCAAAGCTGAGAAATATTTTCATTACAAATTTCTAGTACAAAATATTTGTTCATCCAGGAAATCAGGAAACTCTGAAAGCGGAGGATTCCTAAAGAAGCATGAATTATTTAAAATTGTAATAGTACAGTTTTAATAGTCCATCATTTAAGTTTGCATGTATTATGAACATACCTGATTTGAACAAGATTTAAGTGCAAAGATTAAAAAGTAATAAATTCAGTTTTTGTTTTGTTTTAGTTATATTAGTACATCAAGCTAAACTATATTAATATGAGAAATGTTGCCTAAAAATAATTTTTAATTCATTTTTGTAATTAATGTTAACGTAAAGTAACAAAAATGTTTTTTTTTTATGGTTTTAGTTGTAGTTGTCTATAATAACTTTTTCTTCGTCAGGTCGCGTTCTTCCTCTTCCTGTCGCTGTCCGTTTATACGGTTCTTCCTCTCCCGCTCTCATGGGCTCTGAGCTTCGGCATCGGAACCAGTGTTTGTCACATCGTCATCATCAGTGTGTCAGCTGGTGGCGAACGCTGTGCTATTCGTGTGTGTTAACGGCGTGGGTGTGTTTCACCTGTGGCACACTGAACACGCTCACAGAAAGTCCAGCAAGAAGCGGGAGGACTTCAGCAGGAACCGCGCCACACAGGCCAAGCAGAAGCGTGACCAGGTACAGATTTACATACTGTACTTCATTCAGAGCGCAGAGTGTGTGTCTCCGCAGGGGGTTCTGAGCGTCTGCATGTTGCTTTAGGCTTTGGAATAGAGCTGAAATATTACAGTTTTTCTTGATTGCCAACACACTATAACTGATTTGACCCAATTCTCCAAACCATTCATACAGTTCTCGAAACAAAGACACGATTCTCAAAACTTTGAACACATTTCACCTGTTTGCACACACGCTCCAATTTGCTCAGTGTTTTCTGCAAAACTCTTTCTTAAACGTTTCTTAAAGTTTAATGCTGAATTTTACTGTATCTGCATCCTCTATTTATGTTGTATACTGTAATAGTGATTGACTAGCAAAAGGATTCCTGTTTCCCAAAAGGAGGTTTTTGTAACAGTGTTTTGAAGTGATCTCACTAGTGTTCTCTAGACAGTGAAGTAGTGTGTGTATTTGACAGGTTTGTGTGTCATCTGAGTCTGACAAAAGAGAACATGTTTTTGACTAAACTATTTGATTTTGACCTGGAAGTTTGACGTTTGCACAAGTTGGTGTGTAGTTTTGAGATTGTGTTTATAGTTGTGAGAAAATGGTGAATTGTTTCATGAATTGTGTGTTAGCAATCGAGAAAAACTGTAAATAAATAATGCATTAATAATAAACGGTGTTTAATCGAGTAACTCTTGTGTGCAGGAGCATCTGCTGCTGTCGGTGCTGCCGCGATACATCGCCATGGAGCTGAAGACGGAAATCGTTAAGCGTCTGTCGGCTAAATGCAGCGCCGAAGAGAACCGACCCAACTTCCACAGTCTCTACATACGACAGCACAGAGACATTAGGTGAGAACACACACACACACACTCACACACACACGCGCACACGCACACGCACACAGGTTTGTTTTTGTGAAAAGTGGGGACATCCCATAGGCGTAATGGTTTTTC